CCTCAACAGCAGGAAAGCAAACACCCCAGTTAGTCGTGTCCTCCGGCACCCTGTCATGCTGTCTACAGGATGCGGAGATAATTTCAGCTTGCAGGCTGTCATGGGCACTGAGGGTTAGCATGTGGCCAATTTGGAATCAAAATCAGTCTTTCTCCCCCCCTGGAGAGTGGAGGAACCCATAAAACTGAGCAGGATGCAAACCAGGCAATGCTACTGCCCCCCAGAAGGCCCAGGAGCATCAGTGCTGACCGCATGCCCTGGTTTCCAGGAGCTGGAGCCCCAGCAGGTGTGGAGGTATACACCTGTAACCCCAGCACTCTGCGAGGCTGAGACAGGAAGATGGCAGGTTTGAGTCCAGCTTGGGCAACTCAGCAACTAAGCAAGACCCAGCCTCAAAATAAAACGTGGAGACTGCTCGGCGAGTGCCCAGGGTGAGGAGCAAAGGTGGGAGGTGGAGACCCTGAAACCAGGCTTGGTGGCAGCTCTGGTCACGGGGCTTCGGTGGGCAGCACATTGTAGGGCACCGGGAAGGTTGAGGACTGGATGCGCCCCATCCTAGAGCCACCTAGAGGAAGGGGTACAGATGCTGCACGCTGCCAGAGCCCAGCACTCAGCCACACCAGGACATGGCCTCCCAGCCTGGCTGCCCCAGCTGTGCGACTCGGCAGATCCCGAGACCCTGGCAGGGCACAGTGTCTTCCTCAGTCAAAGGGGGCTGTGAATGCTGCCAACTGCACAGAGCACTGTGACACAGAGGAAGTGCCTGCAATGGTGACCAGGGGAAGGAGGGGCAGAATGGGCAGGTGACAGGAGAAGCCCTCAGCCTCCTGCCCTGGGAGGGGCTGACCACCTAGCTGCCGGGCCCTCGGGGGACACGTAGGAGAAACACAGGCTGGCGCCCGGGAACTGCACCAAGAACGAGCATCCCAGATCCACGCTGACCCAGGGCTTCGACCGGCTCCCTCCCAGCACAAACAACCATTCAGGGGAAGAAAAATCAATGGGACTATTTTTAAAATTCTTCGAGTGCTAAAAATAAAGCAGAGGCCATCAGTCCGGCCTCTTGTGCAGCTTGTCACCCTGAGGACCCAGCCAGCTGCAGAAAACCCACCCAGAGCCAGGTACCCATGCAGAGCACTGGTATTCAAGCCGCAAGAGGCTTTCCAAACTCGCTGAGCAGACTTCGAGAACTCACACTGACCCCAGGGCTTGTTTAAGAGAGAAAACAACCGGGCTTAATGCTGGGTCCTGATCAGTGGCCGGGCCATAAGTGAACAGTTTCTCTGTCCCTTACAAATACCCTTAGGACAGCCAGCAGATGGCTGTGATCCCAGCACTCTGGGAGGCTGAGGCAGAGCTGCAAGTTCGAGCTCACACTGGGCAACTTAGTGAGATCCTACCTCAAAATAAGAAGTGGTCTGGGGGCATGGCTCAGTGCAAAGGATCTGGGCTCAACCTCCAGCATCACCAAAGGAAACAACCAAAAAATAAAAATAAGAACCCGGGGAGAAGATGTTTTGTCCATTTTCTTTCATGAAAGCTGACAGTCGGGGTGGGTTGGGAGGGGAGACAGCACAGGGCTGAGCCCGCACCTTCAGGCCCCAGAGCAGAGCCATCTCCTCGGCTCTTCAGGGTCTGGGGTCTGAGCTTCCCAATGCCCAGACTGACAGGGAGGTGTCCACCTGTCCTGCTCCATCGATGGCCACCTGCAGCCCAGGCCATGGGTGGCCTGCATGCTGCCTTAGAGGACCCAGAGGAGCAGTGCCTGGGTTCCTGATCCCAGGCCCCAGCAAAAAGGCTGAGTTGTGGCATTTACAGCAAACCCGGGCAACCAGGATGGGCCAGGAGCCCTGCGGGGCGTGGAGAGGGCAGGCGGGAGGTGCTGGTGATGGGGTAGACACTCAGGGCCTTCGGGAACAGCAGGCTCAGAGAGAGATGCTGGGGTTGGAGCCGGGCGTGGTGGCTCATGCCTGTAATCCCAGCACTCAGGAGGCTGAGGCAGGAGGATCGTTGGGAGTTTGAGACCAGCCTAGGCTACAAAGTGAGCTCAAGGCCAGCCTGAACTGCACAGCGAGACCCTATCTCAAAAAGACCAGAGAGAGAGAGAGAGAGAGAGAGAGAGAGAGAGAGAGAGAGAGATATGCTGGGGAGGGGCCAGCAGAGGCAGGTACAGCCCCAGCCCAAGGCTGATGCCCAGGAACAGTCAGGAGGCACCAAGAAGCCAGCCACTGTCCAGGGTGACTCCACCAGGTGCTGAAGGAGCCGCTGGGGCTTCGCACAGCAGCTCGGTCAGGATAGGGTCACCAGGGGCCAGGAGGCTGCTGGACCGGAGGTCTAAATGAACGCTACTGCACTGAATAGAGCACTCGGTTCACAGCAGCCTGGCCACAGCTCTCAAGCTCGGCCAGCAGGGTCCCAGCAGCAGGTGCAAGCCAGACACCTGGCATCCCGGAGCAGAGCAGGCCACTCACTTCCTTTGTTAAATACAAAGGTTACAAATGCTTTCATGGTGTTTATCTTTACAGCTACTTCCTAGATATGGTGTGTGATGTTCTATTTTTTATTTTATCTTAAGACCATGTCTTCCTATGTAGTTCAGCCTGGCCTTGAGCTCACAGTGATCCTCCTGCCTCAGCCTCCTAAGTAGGATTACAGGTCTGCAGCATCACAGCTGGCTCAGGCACCATGTTTTAATTTATAATAGTGACGCTAATTCCCTTTCAAAAGACAGTGATTTAGGCAAAATTTAGCATCCTGATTTAAAGATAACTCATAAAATTTAGAAAACTACATGGCAAGCAGATGTGGCAATGGCTTTCTTTGAAAGACGTGCTCAGAGCTGGAGCCACCAACCCGGGCAGCCCACAGCTTGCACACTGTCCAGCTGGCCTCAGCCATCTCCCACCTGCAGGCCCCTCCCACATATCGCACCCCAGACCCTCCCAGGAGACCCCTACCTGTGTGCTGCCCCCACCCCCAGCCCCACTCCAACCCACCTGCGCACACAGGCTCTCGGGGAAGTCACCCATCTGGGGCTGGTCCAACGGTGAGTTCACAGCTAAGTGAGCTGACGGGAGATGGAGCCCGGTAGAAAGGCCCATTGCTGGGGCGAGGCCCAGGGGGCACTCGGCTCCCTGCTCACCATGTCCCGAACAGCTTCTGCTCCACCATCCCCAGTGCCAGTGCCGAACCACTCTACCTTGGAGCCCAGGGACAGAATGACTGGTAGGCGGCTCTGGAAATGGCAGAGTCCTAACCAGGAAGCCCTGTGGATCTTGGCCTCCCCATTTGCGGACCTGGGGTCCCTGCATTTCATGTCCCTTGCTTTATGCTACTGGGAAGTGGTGAATGATGTCAGACCCGGCAGTGGGCATCTGTCTGTCTGTCCATCTCAAAGGCCCCAGTACCTGCATCTCCTGATGACCTCTGGGAGGAATCGGCTGGGAGCAGCTGTGAGCCCTGCCTGGCCAACCAGAGTGAGGGCTTCTCCTTCCTCAACAGTGACAGGCTCAGAGGAAGCCATGCCCAGATGGAGCCACAGGGGAGCCACTAGGGTCCTGGTGGGATGGAGCCCAGACTGCTGGCACACAAATGTCACCACAGGAGCCCAAGGGGAGCCAGAGGGCAGACCCGAGGCAGGCAGCCACCCCAGGATGCCAGGAGCCCCTGGACCCACCCATGCCTGAAGCCCTCTTATGGTTACAAAGACCTATAACAGCCATGTTCACCGAGCGAGGCCGTGTGACCCTGGCAGCAGAAAAGCCTTAACTAACCATGGCTCCACGCGGCGGGGGCACTAACCATGGCTCCATGCGGCAGAAACAGGTGGTCAGCTCAGGCTCTGCAGCCCGAGTAGAAGTACAGCCCGGTCCTATCCGTCCTGCTGAGGCTGGGCTTTTATGCTCCACTCTTCCTGGAGCCTCCTGACCTCTCCATCCTCTCCCACCCTCCACTCACCACAGCCAGGACCCAGTGATAGGTGCTGAGGTCCCTGCACATCCGGAGCTGACTCAGCCTATGAGGAGGGATCACAGAGGTGTGACTCTGCTGAGGGCACACAGCTCGGTGTGGCAGTGAGGCTCCTAGACAGGTTCCAGCAGCAAAGCCCTGGCTGGCACGTGCCCCAGGCCTCTCAGTTGGCTCCGGGCTGTCCCAGCTCCCTCCTTCTGGATGGCATCTTCCCACTTTCCTGGCCCTGTCACCCTTTCCTTCTGGCCCAGCAGCCTGCTCCCTTTTGCTCTAGGTCCCTGCAGACCTGCAGAGACTGTCTGGTCCCACGAAGGTCCAGGGTGTCCCCCCACCCCACATCCCCCTGCACACCTGGCCAGCTCTGAGTTCCAGCTAATGGTGGTTGACCTTGAGACCACAAAGTGTCACCTCCTAGGGGTCAGGCAGGTGACACAACATAAAACTAATGGTGATTCCAAGCACCATGGTACTACCTGGCACCCGGGGCCTCACGCACGTCACTGCCACTGAGGATGGCCTGGAGAAGAGCTATGTCCACTTGGCCTGCCCTCCCCAGGCCGAAGCTCCGTGTCGGCCCCTGGCCTCACTGCCTGCTGGGAATTGTCCACCCCTTGCCTCAAGCTTAACCTCGAACAGGGACACCAAGGAGAGCCCCCTGCACCCCACTCTAAGCCCCGGGCAGGACCCCAGTGCTGTCCCTCTAACCCAGGTGCAGATCTTGGGCCCTGGGAAAGGGGACAAGGAGGGAGCCATCCTTGGGCCACCTGTCCCTCTTCTAGGGCCAGGACTCTGGGTTCTTTCCCTTCTGCACAGACCCCTGTTCGGGGAGGGTCAGGGTGACAGGAACCATGGCCACTCACGTGTGACCTTCAGCAGCTGTGTCTGTTACATTTCCCCAAGCAGAGGACGCTGGATCCCACATCCAGGCCTCACGCACATGCTCACCCAAAGGGTCCTAGATGAAGCCATGAACCAGAGCACAAGCCCCGCCCCCGCCCCACCCACGTGCCCTCCTCGCAGGACCAGGATACTGAAGCTCCTGTCGGTGACCGCCAGGTGCCAGAGGTTGATGCGCAGGTCGTCCGCCGACATGTAGGTCTCGCAGTCGCTGTTGACGGAGATGGAGTTGATGTGGTAGGTGTGGCCATTGGCGAAGATCCTCCTTGGGCTCACCTCCACCATCAGGTCCATGGGCTTCAGCACCGGCACCTGGGCAGGGCCAAGGTCAGAGCTGGGCTTCAGGGGCAGGGAGGGTGGCAGGGTGCAGTGGGCATGAAACTTCATTATTTTATTTTATTTGTGTCTTTTTGAGACAGGGTCTTGCTATGCAGTTCAGGCTGGCTTTGAGCTCACTGTGTAGCCCAGGCTGCTCTCAAACACACACCCATCCTCCTGCTTCAGCCTCCCAAGTGCTGGGATTACAGGCATGCACCACCAGGCCTCACTGAGCATATGACTTTAATGAAAAGCTGCACTACTCAGGCAGGTGTCCATCCTGATGTTTCCGGGATTAAAATAAGCAGGGACAAATACAAATGTCCCTCACCTGCCCAGCCCTGCAGGAAAACCTGCTGACTCTACCCAGGCAGACTGCTAGGATTGGTCCTGAGCCCAGGCTGGATGTTTACCACTGTGTCAGTGAGTGAGTAGCTGAAGCCCTCTGCCCCTGGTTCCCTCAGCTATGACATGGAAGAAAGTAACACAGCAGAGCCAGCTAACTGTCCACCAAACACAGCATCTGTCTTCCACAATGATGTGTTTGAGAGATGCCACCCAGATGTGGACTACATTTCCCAGCATCCCTTGCATCTGATTGATGACTCTGACCAATGAAATGCGAGCAAAGTGTCACATGTTCAGTGACTAGCTGGTGAAGCAACAGTGTCTTTCCACCTGGAACATGAGGATTCCTGCCTTAGGGGTGATGGAGAAAGAAGCCTGTGGAGAGCCGCAGCCAACCAGAGCACCCACCCCAGCCTTCCAGCCAGGAGAAACGCATTTCTGTGCAGAGCACCTGAGTGCTAGATGGTGTGTCACAGTGGCTGGAGCTGGTGGTCCCTGCAGTGACATCGGACATGGGCCTTTGCTTTCACTGTGCCCTCTGCTTGTAATGCCAGCAGACAGACACACAGACGTGGCTTCATCTAACCACATCTAGCCTCATCTCCCCACACCTGGCTGGACTGCATACACAGGAAACTGAACCCAACCCGCCCCACATGCAGGCCAAGCCAGGGACCGCGCAGGGTCCCTTGCATGGTACAGCTGTCACCTGCTCTGGGGGGATGGGGCACCAGTCGGGTGTGGCACATTGTCTCTGGTTTATCTATCTCTTTGGCACCTAGTCCATGCCCAGCCCAGAGAGGCACACATGGGTGACTGAATGAGAGGCCAGTGGGCTATGTCCTTGAACTTGAGGACAGGTGATACGGGTGACAGCCTCTGTGTTTTCACGTATCACAGCACCTGAGCCCATCTGGCTCTGGTGGTTCCAGTGTCTCCACCTGGGTCTGCATGCGTGGGAGCCTCCGTCCCTGTGTTTAGACCTGCAGGAGCCTCCCTGCGCCTGTTCCCACCTGTTGGTTCATCCAGGTCTGCCACAAACCTCCCCTGCCCTGGGGCACAGCCACCATCCACATAGGAGACCCTGGGGCAGTAAAGACAGGAAGTCCAGCTGCTCCAGGTGAACACACTCAGGGAAACCCCAACCCAGCAAAGGCCTGGTGTCTCCGCCTCCTTGGGGCACAGTGCTTCCTCCTGGCACTGCCATCCTCCAATCCAGTCTCCAAGGCCATTTGAATACATAAGAGGAGGAGGAAAGAAGCTGCCCTGAAAGCTTCGGGTCGTCAGGAATAAAGCATCCTCCTGATGACTCCCAACAGTCATGACCTAGTTGGAGTGATGGGCAAGAAAATGAACACCAGCACTGAGGGCAGAACGGTGTCAGACACAAAAGGTTAGAGTGAACGCAGGATGGATAAGATTTTCTTCTGGCCTGTGTAGAAAACAAAGGCTTTACAGAGATGAAGGCTGACAGGATTTTAAAGGATGAATGGGAGTTCACCAAATAGAGAAGATGGAGAAAGGTCTTCTGAGCTCTCACAGCCGCTGTGTGTCCCTCTGCCACAGCACCGCACACCAGTGCACAGTGATTCAGTGTCGGTCTCCTTGGGCAAGGGCTGGGGACACTATAGGGGACAGGATTGAGTCTCGGATTCACCTCTGGTGCCTTAGCTCCGACCCCACACACAGCAGCTACTCAGTACACATTGGCTGCCGCCATCATGGCTTCGGCAGAAAGCCAGGTACGATTCGGGTGGCTTCAGTAACATGAACAAACAAGGTCAGAGGCAAGAGGAAGAAAGACCTGGTCACCTATGCTGTTTAACAATCGTGTCATCCAGACAGGGTTAGGAGTCACCTAGCGAATTGGAGGAAACCGGTGGATAGTGTTTCCAGAAGTGATTGGCATGTGGGCCAGCAAATGGAGGGGGAAGGCCCGCCCTGATGGTGGTTTCATCCAATGGGCTTGCAGCTGGATGGACTGACAGGGAAGGAGGAGGAAGCAGGCCGGCATTTGAACAACTCCGTTGTGTTGTACCCTGAGTTCCTTTTGTTGGCACTGCCTGTGAACCCCAGACTTCAGCTTCTGCAGCCTTGCGAGGCAGACTCGCACCAGCGGCTCTCCAGGGAGCTTCCAGCCTGCAGCCTGGGACTGGCGCCGCCTTCTTTAGTCCTCTTTTCCGTGGGTTCAGCAGACGGACGCCCACTGCGGCCTCTCTCAGTGAACTGGGCTAATTAACCCCCTTGGTCCCTTGCACAGTGATCTACATTCTATTGATTCTGCTCCTCTAGGGAACCCTGGCAAATAAACACCCGCGTTTCCCTCCTTCTCAGCCTTGGTTTACAGTTAAGTGTCTGGGGAGACAGTTGACATAAAAACTCCCATGCGGGAGGGAAGGTGTGATTCCCACTGGCCTCCTGCTCTGCCTCAAATGCCAGGCCAATCTAGATGTGATAATTGCGTCCCTCCCGCATAGCCCTCATAAACCTCCCTGGGCTGGGGGTGCAGGGCAGGAATTGTCAGTCCCACTGCCAGTGCAGAAGGGAAATAGCTTTCCCGCATTCTCAGAATTTGTGCAATTTGCCAGTCATTTAGAAGCCAGCATATTTTTGTTTTGCTTTGTTTTGTTTTTTTGAGACAGGGTCTCCCTATGCAGTTCAGGCTGGCCCTGAGCTCACTTTGTAGCCCAGGCTGGTCTCGAACTTGCAACGATCCTCCTAACTCAGCCTCCCAAGTGCTGGGATTACAGGCTGAACCACCATGCCCAGCTAAGCCAGCGTGTTTAAACACCAATTTCTTCTCTGAGACAACACTGATAACCCTTCTACTGATGACAGACACTGGGTGCTTGGCATGTATGCATCTGCTCAGTCTCATCAGGAAAGGAACAAGCATGGAGCACTTTGCTGGTGAGAAACTGAGGCGTGAAGCACAGGAAGAACCCTAAGCCTCTCAACTAGGACCAACCAGGACGCAAACCTGCCCCTAGCTCCAACCTGAAGGCCCAAGTCCTGCAGACCTCCTGGTTTCATGAAGGAAGCATAGCACTCCTCACTCCCCTGGGACCCCCAGTGGACGCTCACCTGCAGCGACGTCACCGTGGACAGGTCCTTCAGCTTCCCCTCCTCATCCTTCAGGTTGTAGCCCTCGGGCCTCTTATCCCGCTCAGTAATCTTCCATAACTTGATGGTTTTATCTTTAAGGACAGAACAGAGAAAGTGGACACATGACCATCCACCAGGACAGAGGACAGAGAACCCATCACACCAGTTGCAGGTGACACAGACTCCAGAGGCCACGTGGCCTCACCCCGTTCTCAGACAGCACACCCGCAGGCACCTCACACACCTCATAGATGGATGCGTACACAGTGTGTCTTTTACACTGTTCCTTCCTCATCACCGATCGAAACAGCGACAGTGCTTCTGAAGGTCACTCTCAGCTCCTAAGCTGATTTCCAGGTGCGGGACCACTGTACTTTCCCACTCTGTTTATTTTTTGGGGTACTAGAGATTAAACCAGTGCCTTTGCGCTGAGCTACATCCCCATTCATTCATTTGCTCAGGATTTATAATTTTGAGTTAGGGTCTCATTAAGTCTTTAAATTGTCAGTCTGGACTCAAACTTTGGATCCTCCTACCTCAGCCTCCCAGAGTGCTGGATTACAGGTTATCCCAGCCTACTCTTTAAAGTCCTTAGCTGACAACCTGACCCATCTGCTCCTCCTAAGGAACAGCACCCTGCCATCCAGCAATGAGCTCCTAGGAGCCTCATTTCCCTGGACTCTATATCTCAGAGGAAGCTTCAGTAGCTGTGATGGTTAATCTGGGTGTCATCTCTCCTGCACCGTGATACCCAGATATCTGGTTAAATGAGTCTTAGGTCCTGCTGTGAAAGATTTTAGATGAGGTTAAAAGTTCAGTCACTAAAGCCTGTGACTTTCTACCCCATGGTGGGCCTCATCCAATCAGCTGAAGGCCAGCTAACACCAAGTCTAACCTGGGAGACCTTTAGCCTACTCGCTGGGTCTCCAGCCTGCAGCCCAACCTGCAGGTCACACGGCCAGCTCCCGGTCACATCCACCAATTCCTGAGTCAGTCTCCACCTCTGTCTCTGTTTATCTCTGTTTGTCTGCTTCTATCACCTCTTTCCCTCATGGCTCTGGTTTCTCTGGAGAACGCCACCCAGCAGAGTGCCCAGAATAATCACCAGCATGCCCAGCAGAAGTAATCGGTGAATTCAGTCTGCATCCCACAGTCAGTGGGACCTAGTCCCCTCCACCCCAAAGGCAGCATTCACAAAGGTATCGGGTGGCACTGTTTACAATGGGAGTGATCAGGGTCCAGCCTGGCTTCTCAGGGCTGCTCTGAGCATCACTCTTCAGGATCTAAAGACCCAGAAACATGCGCACAACCAGAGTGACACAGATGGCCTCCACTGACCCCAATGAGGGCTCACCGTTGGTGGACAGCAGCGAGTGGGCCGCATTCTGCTGCGGGAGCCATTTGATCTTGTTGATCTTCTCCTCTATCTCCAGACTCTTGAGATAGTCGAACTCGGGCTCGTGGCTCTGGAAGGTGCTATAGACATCGTACTCACCCTGGCTATGAGGCGCATTTTTGCTCTGCAGGGAAACCACAGGTGGGATGAGCTGCGGGACAGCCTGATGCCACCTCGGGATTGGCTGGCCAGCAGCACCAGTGGGCCCAATGCGATGACCAAAGAACACCCTGCACTTCACTACCCTGCAGGGTAAAGCAAGGCCAGTCCTGAGAGAACAGGGAGCCCGAAGCAAGCCAGGCTGTTCCAGCTCCAGAAGGCCAGGGGCCCAGCCAGTCAGGCCAACAGGTTGCTAGGCAGCGGGGTTTAATGGCTCACCTCCTCCTGAGTGTATAAAGGTGCTACTGTGGCTGAGCAGTTCCTCTCCTCTCCTCCCGAGAGTAAGGGCTCCATCCCACCCCAGCTTTCACCTTTTCTTTATTTTTCTCATCCTCTCGGTGTCCTTCACCCCAAGAGCTTCAGATCATGGCAGGCAAGTACAGTATCCCAGCAAGCTCACGTGTACTGAGCAGCTACTACAGGCTGAGCACTGAGCCAAGGGGCCCCCACACCTCACTTCTTCTGTGCTTAGGGCTCCTCCCTAGGTGGGTGGGGGTCACAGGACCACCCACTCCTACGGGTGGAAGTGGAGACCCAGAGGCCAGGTAGCTTCAAGGGGCCATGGTCACTGAGCGGCCACCATTCCCTCTACTGGGGTCAGATGCTAATGCTCAGGCTGTGACAGTGCCTTTTCCGGGCCCTGGCCTGTGCCTGAGCCTGTGGTTCCCTCCTGGGCCGGACTTGCACTTTGGAGCAGAGGCTGTGCTGGGGTGGCCCCGAAGCATCACACAGGGGACAGTCAGGGCCCCTTGGCCTCCATGGCAGCTCCTGTCTCAGTTGGGAAAGCAGAGTTCCTCAAAATAAAGACCCCACTGTGGAGCCCCTGCACGGCTAGGGGTGAGTCCCCCCCCCCCCACAACTCAGGTTCACACGACGTAAGCCCACAGCCTCAAATGAAGGCCACCACAGCTCCCTGCTCCTCTTCATTTTTCTAAGCACCCATGTTCATTATTTAAAGGTATCTATTTTTAGGTTCCTACTCCTGTCTTGGTTTTTGCAAGGCTCTAAAGCTCTTGAATATTTTGAATATCACCTCCAACTCACTTTCTTGGAAATGATCACAGGTTATGACAAAGGTCAGGGGAGCAGAATGAAGAAAAACTAAAGGAGAAAATTTCAGAACGGAGTGGATCAGGTCTGCCAATGTAACTGCTCTCTGCAGCCCAGTGAAAGACAGGCTGGACTCTGCAGTCCCGTGGACTCGGGTCTACCCTGTGAAACCCATGGCACCTGCCACAGAACTGACCCCTGGCACATGCCACCCAGAGCGCTGATGTGTGGGCGTCCCCGAGCCCACCCTGGGGACTCAGGTAAACCCTGCGGCTGCGTTCACTGTGAGCATCAGCTTGCCCAGACTCAGGTGGGAGGGGAAGACTCCTCTGGACTCCTTTGTCCTGCCCACTCGTCCTGCCCACTCTCCCCTCCTGGTCTCTGTGCAGCCAGAGTCTCAGTGCCTACAGTCCAGGTCCCAGACCTGCTATGCTCCTCACTAGCTGGGTGACTCAAGACTTTGCCCATCTGTAAAGTGGATGTGGATCCTCACCTCCCAGGGGAGCAATTAAAAGACACTCAGCACCTAATCTGAGCAAAGCAGGTGCTTAGTAAGTGGGGGTGGGATCTTTTCATCACCGAGGGCTTTCAGGGTTTTAAAATGACCCTGGGGCAGCTGTCCTAGGTTCAGTCAGGTGTGGACAGGGGAGGAAATAAAAAGGGGCTGGGAGGGCCCACAGGAGTGGGTATGCCCCTGCCTTCCCTGGTGGGCACTGCGTGCCAGGCTGCCCAAACAGGGAGAGGTCCCCCTGGTGCTTCAGCAAGAGCAGCAGCACGGTCTGCCTGGCTTTCTAGGGTCAAGAACAGCAGCACAGCAGGCATCGAGCAATCAGCCAACCCCTGCAGGTGGTGGAGCTCAGAAGGGCAAGCCCACTGGACCTGGGAGCTCTAGGGCTGCACCTGCTGGCCATGTTCCCCACCTCCTTTCCCAGGATCCCGCGGTGCAGGTGGAGCTGGGCTGAGGAGGCAACCCTGGCAGGAGGCAGTGACACTTATGGGCCACAGGCGCCTCCACTCTCCAGTTCTCACCCCCCACCTGCCACCTCACCCCAACCTTCCCACCTGACCCCGCCCCTATACTTGCCCCTCCCACCTGACCCCACCCACACTGGCCCCTCCCATCCGGCCCTCCACGCACCTCTGGTTCCCGCTGGAAGATGACAACCCGGCCGCCCTTGTCGCCTGTGGCCAGCAGCTCCCCCGTGTGGTTGAACTCGACAGTAGAGATGATATCGGCTGCAGAGAGATAGGAGGGGCACTCATAACAGCCACCAGCAGGGTGACACCCATCCCCAGGGCCCACACCCTTGGACGGAGGATGGGAAGGGGAAGTCTCCCGGGGCTTCCTGTCCCTCCCTGCAGGAAGCGGTCTGCAGGTGTCTGTCTGGGAGCAAAATACAGGACAGCAAGTGGTCAGGGTGCATGCCTGGGGGGCTGGCAGCTCGGCAGAGGATAAGACAGTGGCCAGAGCATGGACCCTGTGGGGAGAGCAGGTCCCTGGGGAAGAACAGCGGAGTCATCCTTAGAGCTGGATGAAAATGGAAAAGTTGGCACCTAAAGCCACCTGGACATGGCCTCACCCTTCTGACCTAAACCCCACAGGGCCCCGAGCTCCGGCCACGGGGGCAGACCAGCCCTTCCCAGCCACTGGAGATGGACACAGTGCCGGGGGGGGGGGCAGTGTCCAGGATGGAGCCCTGGGGACCCCTCCAGACTGCGCCCCTGGGACACATTCCTCCCTGCTTCCCGCCCAGAGCTCCTAAAGTCACCCCAGTACCTGGCGCCTTGGGCTCCCAGGGGGCCCCTTGTGTGTTTTAGAGAAGCAGCAGCCCCACCTCCAGGCCCCAGTGTTGATGCTGGGAGCAAGGGGACCCCCCCCACTTCCACCCCAACGTTCTCAGGCTCCATGAGTCACACATCCCAGGACCAGCCTGGCAGAGAGGACTGGAACTGGGCTGGCAGAAGGAAAGCCACCCCTTCGAGACACAGATGGCTCGGCGATGCACTCATCACCTCAAAGCACAGGCTGTTCCACCAGCAAGCTTTGGGGCCCCAAAATGATCTTTATTCTTAGTCCGCATTCCCAGTATTTGAGAAATGCGAGTGTTCCTGTAAAAACCCACACATTCAGTGTGTCTTTAAAAATGTAAAGTTCTAGAATACCCAGACTATGCCCCACCAGCACCCAGCAGTGGGTCCCATGAAGGGGACCTTTTGCCTCGCCCTCCTGGAGTAGACGCTGTGCACACCCAAACCTCCCTCCCTGTCAGAACCACAGAGGCAGCCCCTCTTGCTGGCAGCCCAAGGATTCGGGAGTCCCAGGCCCACCCCGCACTCCACTCTGACAGCCGCAGGGGGCTGGACAGGCTCCCGAGTCGTGGAGGGTGTCATGGTGCCTTTCTAGAGGTCGCAGGAAAGCCTCCTAAGCTGATAGGACCTTAAAAGGGGACTGGATCCTGGGACTCAGTAGAACGCTGTTAGAAGATGCGGCCTGATTGGACAAGGGGGTCCCAGGGGTGTAGCCTGATAGGAAGAGGCGGTCCCAGGGGAGGGGCCTGGTGGGAAAAGACTGTCCCCAGGGCCCCAGGGCAAGGCCTGATGGGAAGAGGCAGCCTCCGGGGCGTGGCCTGGAAGGTCTCAGAGGCGGGGCCTGGAGGACGACTTGGTCCCAGAAGGTGGGGCTTGGTGAGAAGGGCTGTTTCAGAGGCGTGGTCTGGCGATGAGGTGGTCCCAGGGACCCGGCCGCACAGGTTCATTGCCCTCCTGGCTCCTCCCTCTAAATTGTGCTTCCTTCAGCCCTTGCCTTGAGCAGCTCCCCTCTGCCAGGCCCCCGTGCCGGGCTGCCCTCTTTTTTTTTGTTTGTTTTTTTCCTTTTTATCGGTACCGGGGATCGAACTCACGACTGCCTGCTTGCAAGGCAGGCGCTTATGCCACTGAGCTAAATCCCCAGCCCCGGGATGCCCTCTTTTGGAGCAGCGGACTAGGACTACAGAGTAGAACGTGAGGCACAATCAACCTCTCTTCACTTAAATTGTGAGTGTCAGGTGTTTTGTCCCTGCGGTATGGTCAGTGACTAAGGCCGGGGCTCGGTGCACAGCCTTCCTTATCTCCTCCCTGCTGCTTCATGGTCTGGGGATGGCAGCCCCGGGGCTGGAGGACTCCCCAGGTGCCCGATTCTCTCCCTCCACCCCACACCAGGTCCTGCTGGCGCCATCACATAACTGGCCCACTTGCTTCTCCGGGTCCACTGCAGTCTGGCTGCAGTGAAGCAGTGAGAGGGAGCTGGCACACCTGAGACCCACACTGTGTCACCCCTGCTCAAGGCTCCCTTGTGGGTCCACATTTCATAGTCAGGAGAGCAAAGGTCTCAGAATGGCCTAACAGCACCTGGCGAAGCTCACTGGTTACCCGTACTATGCCCTGCGCCTCCCCCTTGGCTTCTGAGGGCATGGGCTGCCCAGGGTGGCCGTGGGACCTGGGGTGGGGTGGGGGTTGGCAGAGTCACTGGCCAAGCCCACGCCCAGCCCATTCAGTTACCACAGCCACACCTCCAGGTCTCAACTTAGTGGAAGGACCGGACGACTGCATCCAGCCCAGCCTCCTCCTGCTCTCTCTCCCTCCTTGCACTCCTGACCACGGGCTCCAGGCTCCCTTCGGTCACTTCTGCTCCCCAAAGGTCCGTTGTGTGCCCCATCCACATCCCATGCAGAGCAGCCTGATGCCCCCTCATCCTGGCCTCTGCTTCCTAGGACACTCGCCCGTCTGTGACCTATCTCCCCCAGCAGAGCAGCTCTGGGGCTTTGAAGGCCACAGCTGCACCACAAGGCCTCTGCGGTCCTGTGTGAGCTGGGCTGCAGCAGACATCTGCTCAACACTGGCCCTAGGAGTCGGTCCCTGGTCTCCCCAGCCCTCTGGGCCCCGGCAGATGCTGGCTGTGATGTCACCAGGAAAGGAGAGAGAAGGGTTAGAAGCGGATGAGAGGCTGTACACTTAAAACTGATCCAGACGACGCCCACACTGTTGTACTTAGGCAAGACCAGGAGAGCAGCACACTACGGGGGACCACGGGTCCACCAGCATGGGGGCACAGTGTCCCAGCCACCTGATGCTGACTGTCCATGAGCAGTCTGCCCCGGCCAGGGTCACCCAGAGGCTGACACTGAGCCTCAGCCTAGCCATGCTGAGTCCCAGGGTAGCACTGGTGCTGGCTGCTGCATATTAAGACCCCCGAAGGGGAAAGAACAGGATGTAAAATTGTACATAAAACGTGCCTAATTATATAGACCAGTGATCACAGCCCTGAGAAAGAAGTAAGCTCGCAGCGGAAAGCTGGGGGAGAAGGCTCCAGAATGCTGACAGGGATCGCTTTGGTATGGCTGAAACAGAATCAATTTTTTCCTCCTCTTTCTACTCTTCTATGTTTTCTAAATTTTCTGTAATGAATGTGGATTATTTCTAATAGCTGTATTGGGGTATAATTGATATACACATTTGCATAATTTAATGTGTACGTCTGGTGCATTTAGACACATGCATAATGCATGTTATTTTTATGATGGGGAAAATAGCAACACTATTAAATTAAAACACCAACAAAACCACTGCTATGGGGCCATGAGGTCCGCCGTAGCTGGGTGGTTACCACAGTAACAGGCACTAACGTCTGCAAGCAATTTACAATTTCTGTGTCATTTTCATATCCGCTGTCCTCTGCACCTCAGCCCAGCTCCCGAGGGGGACATCACTACACCCCCAGGCAGTGGGAGAAGGAATCCTCCATGACTGGCACTACTGGGCAGGACTCTGCGGTCTCTGCTTCCCACCAGCCACCTGCTAGGGAAGTGCGCAGATGGATCCGGGCGCCCAGCCGTGTACCACCCAAAGCCCCAGCCTTTCCAATCCTGTGGTGCAAAATCTATGAAGCCACTAAAGCCCCTCCAACTAAGGCGCAGGTCCAGCAAAGGCCTGGTGCCCAGTATCTGCATGTGGGATCTTCTTTTTGTTGCAGTACCAGGGGTTGAGTCCAGGTCCTTTGTACTGAGCTGATCCCTGACCCGCTTTATTTTTTGAGACACTGTCTGGCTGGGTTTCGATTTACAATCCTCCTGCCTCAGGCTCCCACAGTACAGGGATTACAGAAATGTTTGACTAAGCTTATAGCGAGTTGTCTTCAGAGTTTGCTTTAGGAAAAAGCACCTGCATTAATAGCCAGAGGTTCTATCCCTGGAACCCCCACATCAGCCACCTGGTGGCCCCTGTGCAGCACAGGCCACCCATTCTGGAGGGATGGGACCTATGTCCCGCATCACCTCCTCAGGAAGCTCTCCTAACACACCTCGCTCCATCCCCAGGGTGGTGGTCCTGGGACCACCAAGTGCCCCTTATAGGGTCCCAAGCACATGCTCCCTGATAACGCCTGTGTCCCACAGCCTGCAGCCCTTAGCCTGGGGGCCAGTGCGGTGCTGATCACGGTCACCTGTGGCTCCCAGGCACAAGGTCTGCATGGTTCTGCTCTGAGCCTGTAGGAGCGGCTCCTTTCCCAACAAAACCACATCCGAGGCACACAGAATGACAGCAAGCCAGGCTGGAGTGAGCCCCAGAAAGGGATCCCCAAAAGTAGGGTAAAGTCTGCCTGAGTCTCTGGCCAAACCCAGGCTACACAGGCACCTGACAGGTCCAGGTAGCTGCAGGCAGCGAAGGTATGAGGTGTGGCTCAGCTGGCCCACGTCTGCCACAGTGTTTGGCCAAGGATCCACTCCCACAGGGAGAATAAACTGCATGCAGGCGCAGTGGGGCTCAACTGTGATCTCAGCGCCTAAGAGGCTGAAGCAGGAGGATCGCCATGAGTTCAAGGCCAGCCTGGCCTACACAGTGAGTTCAAAGTCACCACCTTCTGTGCCTTTGGGCTGTCCTCCTCTGGACCTGTCACATAAATAGGATCATCCCGTGTGTGGCTATCCATCTTCTTTTACCTGGCACAGGGTTCTCTTAGAAACCCCATTTCTTTTATAGCTAAGAAATATTCCACTACATCTCAGCACTGTGTTTTAAGACAGTTCCTTGCTCATCAAACAGAAACGGGGCCCTGGAAGAGATCTAGGGTATCACAAGCCTCAGCAATCCCTGCATCCTCACCTGAACTGTGGCAGTGCCCAGCAATGTCAGCTGCAAGGCTGCTGCAGGGTGGATATCACTGCCCCTTCCAGGGCACTCCACAGGGGGTGGGGGAGGGGGAT